TATGGATGAATTGGTATAATGAAAAAGATTGGAAGTTATTTGCCCGATCTTCATATTCACCCGCTTTACCTTTTGCACGTACTACAATGATCACGGAAAGCCATTGGAGAGTTCTCAAATACAAATACAAATATAATTACAATCGTCCACGTATAGATCGCCTTACCCAAATTATAACAGAGCAGCTAATTCCTGACTCTGAAATTAAACTAACTCTGCATGATGGAAATCGAACATTTCCATCATGGTGGCGTGAATTTAAAAAAGAATGGGATAGAGCGGCAGCAGCAGATATTTCATCAGGTGCTGAAGATAATTATGAAATCGATACAAATAAGTGGGTATGTTCCTGCCCAGCTTACTTGCGCAACTGCTATCATCTCTGTAAGCATCTTGTTAATAAAATGAATGAAAATCAATTTCTACCTGTATTTTCGGAGACAACAAGACGACATGATTATCCGTTACTCGCATTTGGTAAAGACAAAATTCCACCTATTGCTTCAATAAATAACCCTTGGATGCGACTTGACATGCCTATCAATTATGCTGAGCAAGATAGTTCTAGTTCTAGTTCTAGTTCCCGTTTAAGTCGTTCAAGTAACTTGCGGGATTTGGTTGAGGATACGAATTTTAATATAATGAAAAAAAGAAAAGAAAAATATGAGTATTACAAACAAAAATTTGATGTTGCATTAACCTTGTATAATCGGGAAATAGATAATTACAATTTTATAAATAATTTCAATACTTTGGTTGCGCCGTTTGTAAGTGAAATAAATAAATGTGAAGAAGTTTTACGAGCTCGCAACCAACAAGGTACTTGGACGTCAAATGGGAAGCTTGCATTTTGGTTACGTTAACTAGTAATGAGTTGTATTAATTAAGTAATGGTTATGTATAGAATTGTATGTACGTACGTACGTATGAAAAAAAAATGTATCGAGATTACTATATTAATATGTATTATAAAATATATATTATAACGTTAATAAAAAAAAAAAAAGATCATCGATTATTTTTTCTTTTTTTTTATTGGTCAATTAAGATCATCAGGACAGCGTCCAATAGAAATCTGCCAAATGTGATCTACAGCACGTGATCTGCCAATTTTTTTTCGCCATGGCTAGGGTACTACATTTATACATTGATGAATCTTCATCAAGTGACATAGGTCACATAGGTGTGATAGTTTTTGGCCGAATAATTTTGTGTTCTATTAAATATTGAGTCATACTTATGCAATATATCAAAAGAATATAGCAAACGAATATTGTAATTAAAATTCTATTATGTTTATTAATAAAGCACAAATATTTCTATTCATAATTACGAATAACTATTTCTTTTTGGGAAATTCTATTTTGACCCGGGTCAAAATAGAATTTCCCTTTATTTTTTTATCATTTGAAAAATAGTAAACTGATGAAAATGATGGGAATAGACGAAAATCCTGAAAATGGGAGAAATGGTGTGAACAATGCAAAAATGATGAATTTTATCTAAAAAGGATATGCTATAAATTATAGCGTAAGTGGCTATGCAATTTTGTTCAAAACTCTAGAATTTTATTTAATTTTATCTTAATTTACATCATTTTTTTTTTTACATTCTTTAAAGATTTTCATTTATCTGCATAAATCTAACCTAATTGTCGGCTTCTTGTAATTTATAATGTAACCAATTATCACAAAGATTAGCCAATCAGAATGAAAGCCCCTATGCTGCCACCACTAACGCTAAGTTATTTAATTTATCGAGATCATATAAGATATTGTCAATCAAAACGTAACATAGTGAGATTAAAATTGTAGCAAGTTATTTATAACAACTTACTCAGTATAACAAGCTATATTGACAATAGATAATCAACGACGCCTCATGTTATAATAAATTTTTAATAACAATTTTTTAATCTCACTATGGTACTTTTTAATTATCGATACATCATATAGACGAAATTTTATGATTTTGATGATTATTAAAATTAATGATAATGTTCCATAAAATTTGATCCCATCATTTATGTGATATTATCCGGAAAACTCTTATGATCATGAATTGCCATCTGTCTTGTTATTTTTTTCATGTGTTACGATGTAATCATGTTTATTCAAATTAAAACTCAGTCGATGACTCCCTACCAATCATGATGATAAATTGCCGGATAAGTGTACATTATTGAACATACGTACTACAAATAACAGTCAATTTTTTGTTAAGACCCTAGCGTCACCAACTTAATAAATTTCGCCAAAAAAAATTTCGCAGTTAAATTAAGGTTAGGTTTTGCTATTAAGTTAGGTTAAAGAAAGGTTTCCTAATACCAAAATTTCGCAAGGAAAACTTTTTGTTAATGCTCAGAAAGCAGTTTCATAGGTAAAATGTTGAGTTATGAACGATTTTTTGGTTTGTTTTTATTTTTTTGCGTTTTTTTTCGTGTTGCACCGGGTCTTGAATTCTGATTGGTTGGCGAAATTTTTTAGGGTGGTGATGCTAGGGGGTTTTAGTTGTCGTACGTATGTTCAATAATGATGTTATCGGATAGTTAATATGACCACGTGAAGTTTTTTCTGTGATATTTTACAAAATTGATTACGTAATTTCATGTAAAAAAATATCATGGCAAAAAAATTCATATGACCATATGAAATGTCCGATAATGTATACTTACATAACTGCCGGAATTAAATTATCAAATGAGTTTGCCAAAAAAAGGTGCAATTCTAAAAATGTATTATTATGTATTTCATAATAATCTATTTTTAAAATTGCACCTTTTTATTCGGTGACACTCAAATTGAATCGTACGATTATATGATAAGACTAAATTACGCGCGTGTCCTGATTTGCTGATTGCAACTTGATTTTTAATACTTTGATGGTTACGCTACATAATATATATCAGATACTGTATGTAGTTCTATTATATCACTTATCATGATTTTATCAAAAATTTCGCGTAATATTTAAAGCAAGATTTATATCAACAAACTTCGTGTGAAATCACCTCATTAGTTCAATTCTAGCGAGTTTCTTATTTTAAATATTATAATGATCTATTATAATATACCACGTATACTTAATACTATCAAATCATCTGGTTTAATTTTATTCTTATTGTATTTATGCATATTTTTTATTAAACAAAACTATATGTATTTTCTGTGTAATACATTATCTTAAAATCTAAACTCTAATTTTAAGCTATTAAAATCTTTATAAAAATATAATCATATGTTTACCATAAATTCTATAAAAATCATATGATAAATTCTATAAATAAATTCTATAAAAATCTAATCATATATTTAACATAATATTATAAATTCTATAAAAACCTAATCATATATTTAACATAATAATATTATAAAGTCTATAAAACCTATCATATATTACATAATGCTGTATGAAGTAAAGGAATATCGTTCTATATATAAACCATAAATTGTAAAGTAAATCATTTATTAAAAAAAAATCAGGCATATAAAAAATAATGTACTTACACGTAATTTGTGTTGTTCCTCAATGTTATTATTATAAAAGTCTAATAAAATACGCATATTCGAAAATTCAATAGTTTATAATCTAGAGATTTTGATTTTTTAAACTACTTGAATAAAGGTTAAAAGCATTATTAAATTCTTTTTCTTCTGTATTAGGTAAATATTTGTAAAAGAAATTCATGATATTTGAGTTCCTCTTTAGTTTTGCAGGATTTAGTGATTCTACCAAACATCTACGCAAGAAGTAATCTTGTGGTTTTTGTTTGATTTCTGTAAAAGAGTCTATTAAAATCTTTCCAATGTCATCTAATCGACTTTCTAAGAGGTGGAATATATCGAGAATGATACTATAATTTAATTGAAAGCCTAGATTGATTAATTCAGTAAGCCGCATCTTAACAGTTTTAACGTCAGGTTTAGTCCATTCAGAAGGTTGTACAGGAAGAAAAAGAATTAAAAGCGCTCCTTGTATTACTAAATCATTGACATCCTCGCAAATTTCAAAGTAACCAATTTTTTTCCATAGAAGTACTAGATCTTTACGGATTAAAATTGCACGCGCAATTATGTTAAGTTGCCGATTATTTTCATGACCATCTTTTGGTGGATACTCTTCCGGCGAATTAATTAGCACTTCATTAGATTTTCTCGGCGGAAATGGTATAAATTTCATACGTAAGATTAGATCCGTAATTTCTTCCATATTTTTTTCTAAAACAGTTGGTGCATAATTAATAGTATGTGGACCTCCAGAAAGAAAATGAAAAAGTTCCATATCATTTCCTTTAAGATATAAATCAGTGTTGAATTTATTTGAAGCCTCTGTTAATAAAAATACATAAACAGAAATTGGCAAATTACTGGCCCAGGGAATCATTCTTTGCTGCAAAGCCTTGATCCTATCAATATCTGTTTGTCCTACACTATGAACAATCTTTAATTCGATAAGTTTTTTGTCGTAATTTCCATAGTGAATAAGAAGACGTTGTGCAAAGTATCTTGAAAGAATTCCGCCTTTAGTAATAATAGCACGAGCAACTTCAACAGAGATAAATGTTGGGCCTAATCTTATAGCATGGAAGAGACAGTGTGCTCTCCCATACTGAAAAATAATCCATTCCGCTTTTGCTTGAGAATCTTTACATATAAAAGACCATCGTCTACAGCTTACAGCTAAATTCATAGGATTTTTAACATATTTAAAGATATATATCATAACTTCATTAGATAGTTCATATTGAAAGTAATTTTTCTTTTGAGTTTTTGCAATCATTTAAAGTAATTTCTATTTCGAGTACTTGTGTAACCACCTAATCATAATAAAGATCATGTTAATTAATGAAAAAATTTATAAAAATTATAAGAAATATTATATTCATAACACCCATGTTATATAACACCCTATATGTTTAGGGTTAGGGTCCGGTTTTAAGATATATAGGGATTTTTATTATACAATATATATAGACATAAGGTCATAATAGGTCCCGATTTCAGTTCCCGTGAGGTTTTCAGGGGCGCTGATCATTTTTACTTAGAGCACCTACACCCATTTTCTTAGTACGTTTTTGAGATATAGCATTAGGGTGTTATATAACACGGTGTTATGAATATAATTTTCCAAATTATAATTCATCTATATTTTGGAAGGCCTAAAATACAGTATACTATCGATATAACGAAGTTCATCCTTTTGCCATTAAATTATTCTCGATAAAACGAAACTATTAGTAAGCTTAGATCTAATGAATTTTGGAAAATTTGTACTAATAGTCCAACTCCTTCGTTATATCGAGGTTATACTGTATTTAGTCCATGCATGATGTTCACATGGATTATGTAATAAGTAAAGGCGATCTACTCGTAGCTCAAAAACAGATCTGCGTTACATGAGCGCTTTTTCTCCAATTCCGCAGAAAAATTCTGCCTTATTTGTCAAATAAATTCATTACTATCAGCGTATATTATAATATCGTGCATATTAAAGTGATTAAGCTTAGAATTTGACGTTGGCTATGGTGTTTGGCTGATTAGTAAGGCTTATATCCATTTGGAAAATGACGGTCTTGAAAAGATAGTTTTATAGGCCAAATTTAGTTATTGCGTATGCGCCAAATTTTAAAAGTTTTAACGCAATCCTATGATTCTATTAACTTTGTCCAATTATCATATGCATACATCTAAGCAGAACCCACGGAAAAAATTAACATTTTTGGCTAAATAAAAAAATGGAAGCAAAATAAACTAGATAATACGAACCCAGTCATTATCTACGAAGTGAGTATAACCAAGTATTAAACCCAATAAGATGATTTCCACCAAGGCTTACTTATTTATTCCTGCAAACCAAAAAAGGT